TAGAATCTAACACAAAAAAAATAAGAAATGTCTAACAAATAAGTTTTCCTTTTTTTATTCCAACTAAGTACAAGAAAAGTGTATACATTGGTTTCCCACCATATTTTATGTGTGAACCAAACTCAAACAATTTATTTTCTTGGAAAAATTTAGAAAATTTAAAATTTAGGTTTCTTTACATGGAATTGTGCTTCCCAATACATAAGAAACAAACCAAACAGCCCCTTTAAGGGCTAATGGATCATAATCCCTTTCTTATTTTGCCGCCTCATAACATTTTTTCTTAAAATATATGATAATACTAATAGAACTAATGTAATATATTTTTACATAATGTAGTATGTTGTATTTTACTGTGCATTTATTATAATAGAACATTTTATAATAATATATTATATTAATTTAATTTATTAAATTATGTAAAATATAATATATTATAACAGAATACTATATAATACGTTGTAATAATTAATATAATATATTTGAACATAATATATTATATAATAGTATAATATGTTATATTATTGAATAGTATATTGTAGTTAATATGATAAATAACAATGATTCTAATATTATCCAAAGAGTGGTGTTAGGCGCACACCACCCACCACAACCCCAACCACACTCCCCCCTCTCATTGCTACAGTAAACCGGGCCCCACATGGGGTTTTAAAATTTTTAAAATCTCATGTGGGGCCCGGTTTACTGTAGCAATGAGAGGGGGGAGTGTGGTTGGGGTTGTGGTGGGTGGTGTGCCTCTAACATTATTTCAATAGAAATATAGAGAATCTATATGCCTCCTCAAATATTTTTAATGATTTTCAAAAGCAAAAACGTAATTCACTCGGGTAGTCTATCCACAACAAGTAAAATTACAGGGGTCTATTCCCGTCGGCTACCTCCCCTCAGCTGACCTCCAGCTCCAAACCCTCATCCGATTCAAGCAATGTAAGTGCCCCCCCGCAAGATTCTGTTTCGATCTGTGAATTTCAATCCAAGCGTTGAATTGAGAAATGGGTTGGTCTTAGATTTCCCTGTGGTGGTTGAAATCATTTGGTTTGGTGGTATGTACGCGGTAGCTCATCAAATTGGGAAGCGGATTGTTCAGAGATTTTGAAGTTTGCTTTCAAACCAATAAATGTGCATGAGGGTTTGAAAGTTGTGAAATCTCTATCAACAGTACATTGCTGGGCAATTTGGTAGTTATCGGGTTTCTGAATCCCAACCTGAAGTGCGTTGTTATCAGATTGTATTCACCTAGTATTTAGCGTTCTGATTGCATGTAATAGGCAGTATGTCGGCACGGTTAAGTATAGAGCTTATTTATTAGCGTGCAAATTCTGAATCTGTGAATTTTTTTATTTCCGCATAAGATGAACAAGAAGGTTTTTTTCTTAAAAGAGTAAAATGTAGAGAAACACGTTCTTCTAATTTATTTTCGTGGTCATAGATGTGGAGATTGAAATCTTGTGATAGGAGTCTGTGGATAGGACGTCAAAGGTATCTATATCTATTTAGTGCCCAATTGGGTGGAAGGAGGAATGACTTTTGGTAGCACTAGAAGCGAGGTTTGGACCAACATAATTCATTTCAGTTCTTGCCAAAAGTCCATTCTTCCGAATTTCCAATGGTTGGACACTGTCCCCATATCTACTAGGTAGCTCTCCTAGTATTAGCTTATAACTACAGGGTCCTGGCCGAATATTTCTATCTCATCTCTGAGCAGTACCCGGCCCCCAGTTCTTCTCATAGTATTGCATTTCATAAAAATTACATTTAAGATGATGTTGAATTTGTAAATCTCGACACCCACGTTCAACTGACAAATTGGTTGCACTCAGATTTTGCTGTAAATCTGCCTCTTTTCTATTTGGTCCTCGTAAATTTTATCAAAGTAGCAAAGCTTCTTGCTTTGTCAAACTAACTAAGTTGTTAGTTGTTACTTGAAGATTCTTGTTTTGTTACATGAACTGAGCCTTAGGAATGCATTTGAACATTAGTCTAATGCTAGACTGAAGGTATTCACAATGTTCAATCCAAGTCGTAACCTTTTGGAGTTAGCAGAAAAACATATATATATAATGTCTATAGTCATCTAGAAAATGACTCAGTATGAAACATCTCAGCTCAACAATCTTCAAATAGACACATGAGCTCTTCAAACCTAAAATGAGTTTAATTCTAAAGTTTCCAAACCGCTATATGGATGATGCTACCATGAGATTCACATTCCTTTAAATGCCTAGATGATTGGAAGTTTATGATTCTTGCTCTAATTTCATCCTATCAACCTTCAACCTATTTATCAAGTCTTTATCAGGATTTCAAAACAGTATGTATCAGTCTCATTACCTCACCTCCTTAACTCTTCGTCCTAAACTTTAAGCAGTTCCTTGGATCTATTACTCTATCATTTTACTAAAACTGCTTTAGCTTGAACCAGTACACCATCTATATTGTTTTAGTGCATGAAGTCCTGAGTCAAAAGGCAGATGCAATATATTTTACTTGGTGACGAGGAGGTAAGAGGCATTGTCAATTTTCATTTTATTAATCATTCTCTTGATGTGAAAATGCACCATCACTATTTCCTTTTGTGTGGAACATACATTTTAACATTTTTGGTCAGAATCATTGGCTACCTAATTTGAGAACTTAAAATGTAGAGATGGTTATCTTAGAAATGGATGAAATAATTTTTTTTAGGCTTTGTGCGGATACCATGTTGCTTTCCTTGTTGTGTTTCTGTGTAAAAAAACACCATGGTGTTGTGTTTTTCCCTTAAAGTGTTTTCAAAACACCATGTTGAGTGTTTTTGTTCAGCACTAGCTTGACCGTTACAACATTAGTATTAAACACATTATTAATATATTATATAATGTATTATAATATTATATTATAATTTAATGTGTTATATTATATTATAATTATATCATATTATTTTCAGATAATAATATATTTATATTATATCAATTTTTTATTGTATATATTATGTATCATTTTTAAAATAAATTATTTATTTTAATATATATATATCTATTATTAATATAATATAATATTATTAAAAGTGTTAATATTATGTTATTACTAGTATATCATTATTATTTATAAATATTCTAATGTTAAAATATATTAATATTTCTAATATGTTAGAGTTTAATTAATAATACTTTAATAATATATTAACATTTATGATATAAATAAAATATTATTATAATATAAATATATTATTTTTTACATTAATAATTTGTTAGGCATAAATTATTTTGTATCAAAAAATTATTTACTTTATAATATATTATATATTTATTATTTATTATTTATTATATTAATATTTATATTATTATACTATATTTCTATGCAATATATTATTATAAATATTATTATTTCTATTGTTGTTTTATATTAAAAAGTGACTATTATATAATATTTTATAACTATTAAATTATTAACATTTATTTATTAAAAATTTAAGAATATTATAATGATTATTATTTATAAATATTCTAATGTTAAAATATATTATAGTTTCTAATGTGTTAGAGTTTATTAAAAATACTTTTAATAATATATTAACAATTTATGATATAAATAAATATTATTATAATATGAATATATTATCTTTACATTAATATTTGTTAGCAATAAATTATTTTAGTATCCAAAAATTAGTTTACTTTATAATATATTATATTATTTATTATTTATATTTATTATATTAATATTTTATATATTATACTGTATTTACTATGCAATATATTTATTATAATATTATTATTCTATTGTTGTTTTATTATTAAAAAAGTTACTATTATATAATATTTTATAATATTAACTTTATTAACTTATTTATTACAAAATTTGAGAATATTATAATGATTATAATATTGTGTAGTATATTATTATATCATTATTATGTTATTATTTATTATCAATAATTTTTATTATTTTTTATTAGTTTATTTATATTTATTATTATTTATTATTGTACAATACATTATCAATATATTAAATACTAGTATTTAATATGTTATACTACTATTATATAAGATATTTTAATTATTATATTTTTATAGCATTTAATAAATATTACTAATATATTAGATTAACTATAATATAGTATAGTATAATATAATATAATATAATAAGCATGTTGATAATAACTATATATTAATTACATTTAATATATTATGATATATATTATATTAACACCTCCTCAGACTCAGAACCAAAATAGCAAACTTAAAACACCTAAAAAGTGTTTTTAAAATAAGTGTTGTGTTTTTAGTTAGAGGATGATTTAGCTCAAAAAACACCATCGTTTCCTAACATATGGTGTTTTGTTTTTGGCAAAAACGCTATGAAAACAAGAAAAACACCATGGTATCCAAACACATTGTGTTTTGTCCTGGCTCTGATTGTTTAAGTGACTATGTTACATGTATTCTCTTTCTGCATAGTTCTGACAATTCCTTCTTTCCAGCACTTCACCATATTTCCTTGGTATTGTAGGTTATATATAAAGAGAGAGATTCTTTCCTAAGGAGGTGTACACTTATGCTATTATTATTTGGAGAAGTTCATAAAAGTTTATTTGTGTTCTCACCTACAATAATGATAGTGTAACTCTAACCCTCTGCCTTTTGCTGTTCCCCCCTTTCAGCTCTTGAAGATATGCCTATAGCTATTGAAACTGATAAAGCAAAAACCCAACATTATGAGCTGCCTACGTCATTTTTTAAACTGGTACTGGGAAAGCAGCTCAAATACAGGTTTGATAGCTCACAACATCTCAGACTAGAGTTTAGTATTTCATCTTCTTCAGAATATGCTTCTTTAAATATGTTCTGGTGTCTTTATGATCTGTTCTTTGAGTGTGCTTAACCAATTTTGCACATCCTACTGTCAGAAACAACAATTGTGCAACATAATGTATCCTTCAAATTGTTAGTGGAAGATTAGAAAAGCAATTTTTTTCTTGCATTTCTGATGAGTAGCTATCTTGGGAGGCATATCCCTGCAAATTTACAAATTTTGACACCATTTCTGTGGAAATCAATACATGAGTCATTTTAAACGGCAATAGCATATCTAGAACCTTATTACCCATATTTACACTTTCTATGCCTCACAACTTTATTCTTGCTTTTATACATCAATTACTATCTGATGCTTCTGAGCCACGATTCAGTTCCAGCTCCTCATTCTATTTCTATAACCTGAAATCCCAACTATAACTAAAATATAGTGTAACTTTTGCTTGCTCAATATCCTGCTCTTTCAGAGTTATTTATACTAGATATTTAAACAGATTTCATGCATACAAACTGAGTTAATTCTTTTTATGGTCACCAAAATGTTTTTTTTATTCTTTTATGTATAGGATAAGGATGGAACCTCTAGAAAGAGGCTTCAGCAACTGCCATTACTCAAAATGAGCTGGTTACAAAATTGCAGACCACACTCCCTGCCCTAGAGTGTGGTCTCTCAGATGATGATAGTATGTTCATCACAAACAACATGAACACATATATCGTTAATACAAACTCACACACTAAGAAAATTTTAAACTATTAACAGGAGCCTATATACAACAAAAAAATAACCATATCCCACATAGTTTGAAAACACAACAAAAGACCCCATCAGTACCCAAACTATGAACCTCAATCGATAACAATGGGACAATCAATCCCCCTTCCTGCTCTATCACACTGAGGATGTTGAGTAATAGACGCCACCATATAAATCCATGCTCCTCTAGCAGATTGATCGCAGTTTCTCTTGCTTCACCACCCGTTATCACATCATGAGCAAAGTCACCTGACCAAAAAGAAGCAAAATAAGTAATTTTCTTCCATACATCTAGAGAGGGAGTATATCTGTGCATGTAAATTCTTTTGTTTCTTTCTCCCGATATGCGCCAAATGAGAGCACATAGATGTCCCAATCACTTTTCTTATCTCGTTTCAATATGGTCTGTCTCCAATGAAATCAAAAGTCTAATAAATTATGAGGAAAACCAGACACCTGAAACTTATAGTGTAAGGAATTCCACAAAGACTGAACAAAACTACAATCAAAGAAATGATGAGAATAAGATTCATCTTCCCTCTCACATAGCACACGACAAAGCTCAACTTGAATATTTTTACGCAGGAGTCTTATCTTAATTTACCCGATAATGCAAGCCAAACCTAAACCTTGATCTTCAAAGGAGCCTTCACTTTCCATCGATCACAATAAGATCCACCAATAAATTTTAAAAAGTGTTTGTAGAAAAAATTCCTTTGGCATCCAACTCTCGTCTTCTACAATCTTGATCAGTAGAGCTATGAACAACCCCTTGAAGCAAATGTAACAATCTAAATATTGAAACACCAATTGACTGGTGAGTTGCCTTGAAAAATGTATATTCCATCTCCATCTCGTTCCCACATATAGCTTTTGAGTTTTAACAGTATAAAATGGTGAGGAAGTTCAATGAAAAAGGCTAAGAAAAGAAGAAGCTAAAGTGCTTATACGCCCATTTATTTAGCCAAAAAAAATTCACAATAAGATCCACCAATAAATTGTAAAAAGTGTTTGTAGAAAAAATTCTTTTGGCATCCAACTCCCGTCTTCTACAATCTTGATCAGTAGAGCTATGAACAACCCCTTGAAGCAAATGTAACAATCTAAATATTGAAACACCAATTGAGTGGTGAGTTGCCTTGAAAAATGTATATTCCATCTCCATCTTGTTCTCACATATGGCTTTTGAGTTTTAACAGTATAAAATGGTGAAGAAGTTAAATGAAAAAGGCTAGGAAAAGAAGCAGCTAAAGTGCTTATGCGCCCATTTATTTAGCCCAAAAAAAAAATTTCCTCCACCTCCGGATAAAGTTCTACACTTCCAAGTTGACAATCTACTTTCAATTAATAATAGTAGGAAAACCAATCTTCTTTATGCAGCTTAGTAGGTCTTAAAGGCACACCTAAATAGGTGATAGGGAATTCACCACTCACAGTTCATTATAATAGACAGACGCTGGTGCAAATCTGGATTATGTTCCAATGCAATTGGAACACTCTTAGAGAAGTTAATCTACAGTGCTGAAACCATTTCATATCGATATAAGTGCAGCTTCAAGACTCTTAACTGAATTTGATTGGTTACCAAAATGTTTGTTGGATTACAGTTTCTCTAGTTTCAAAGGAAAGTTTGTGTTCGAATAAATTTGTTGGCCTAGCTCAAAACGGTCTCTGAACATGTATCTTGGGACTAAACCCAAGATGTTGGATTTAAATCTAATTAAATCTATTTGTGGGCACATATGATTAATCTGTGTGTATTGCTATCCTTCAGGATAACCCACTAAAGTGATCAATCAATTTAGGTTAATGGGTATTTAAATATAATCATGGGGTTATATGTGCAGAGACCAGGTTATAATTATGATTTGATGAGGGGCTAAATTACAAATGTACAACATCTATAAATAAGGGGTTATGGTCCCTAATCTAGGGTTATATTCTCTAATTCTCTTCACCCCCATCTAGAGAGAAATTTGGCTAGAGAAACCCTAAGGTTAGAAGATCCAAAACACATCTCAAGTTTAATCTATGGATTCAGGTATAAGCTTCCGCTCTTTTCTTTTGATTCTTGTAAATCTCTTTGAATTAATCATGGTTTTTTGGTTTAGATCTCAAGTTTTTATAAGATCTAACAAGTGGTATCAGAGCCACCTTGATTTGTTCTAAGAGATTAAGATTAAAATTAGGATTTTTGGTCTTAATTGTTTTGGATTTAGCAGATGAACAGTAACGAAATTTTCGGATGAACAGTAACGTATTTTTTTGGATGAACACTAAATAAAAATTGTCGGTGAACAGTAAGATTTTTTCATTTTTTGGATTTTTCTTCGATTTTTCTTGCATCTGGATCAAGAAAACTCATTTTTTCGATTCTTGATCTGATTTTGAAATAAAAGCGAGAATTTTTTTGTATCTCTTGTTTGTTTGGTCGTCGGTTCCCGTGCTCCTCGCCGGCGAAGTGTCGTTGGCGGCCTCGCTCTCGACTCCGGCGGCGACGGCGGCGTTAGGAAACCCTAGGGTTTCGACCTTTGGGTGCGGGAACAATGGCGGCGACGGTTTCAGATTTAACCCTCTAAGGGTTCGTGCGTGAAAACGTGCGGGAATTAAGGAGGTGGTTACCTCAAATTTTGGCGAACTGAAAGCTTCAAACGAACTTCGCGTTCGTTCTCAAGTGAGCATCGCGCTCAAATCAAACGAACCTCGCGTTCGTTCTAAAGTGAGTATCGCGCTCAAATCAAACGAACCCCGCGTTCATTCTAAGGTGAGCCTCGCGCTCAGTTCTAAGGTGAGCCTCGCGCTCAGTTCTCAGGTGAGCCTCGCGCTCAATTTAATTCGAACCTCGCGTTCGTTTTTATTCAAACCTCGCGTTCATTTTTTAAACGAACCTCGCGTTCGTTCTCAAGTTGAACCCTGTGTTCATTTTCAGTCGAACCTTGCGTTCATTTTTTCAAACGAACCTCGCGTTCGTTCTCAAGTCGAACATCACGTTCATTTTCAGACGAACCTCGCGTTCGTACTTAGGTGAGTCTCGTACTCAATACAGACGAACCTCGCGTTCGAAGTCAAGCGAACTTCGTGTTCACTATAGGTGAGTCTCGTACTCAATACAGACGAACCTCGCGTTCGAAGTCAAGCGAACTTCGTGTTCACTATGCTTAAGCTTCGGCTTCTATATTATATTATGGGTCCACTTTGGTATGCTTAATTTATTCAATTAAGTTATGGGCCATATTTAAGCTATGGAAATTTAAATTAATTTGGTTTTTAATTAATTATTTAATTCAAATATTATGACACTAAGGTATTAAGGTTGTCTCTCACTCCAATTGATTAATTGAAACAAGAAGTTGGCAAAGTAACATCTCTTGTGTAGATTGTTCATGAGGAATGTGAGATGTTTGTGTGTATGCTTTCGTGTAAATATTTAATCGGCCCAAAGGAAGGTTAATATTTATTTAGACTGTATACACATCTGCGATGATAAGCGTGTGACAATTATAAGGTTTACATGTGAATAATGAATCGATCCAAAGATAGTTTCATTATTTGACATGAGTTATTGTCAATGTTTGATCATTGCAACAAGGTATCACTTACAAGTTAATATTACTGTTCAAAGACTTGATATTAATGTTGTGCCAGATATCTTGAATGGGATTCGTCATTATTTGAATTTTATTGATTACTAATTATGGTTATTGATATGAGCATTTTTTATTTTATTTCAGCTAATGCATCTGCTGCAATAATTTCTGCTAACATCAACTCAATTTCCATGTTAAATGGGACAAACTTTAAGGTTTGGAAAGAGAACATATTAATTGTTCTTGGTTGCATGGATCTAGACCTTGCATTAAGAATTGAACAACCTCAACCTCTCAATGCGGATAGCACTCCTGATGCAAAGAAGGAGTATGAGAAGTGGAAGCATTCAAATCGCATGAGTCTTATGATCATTAAGCGCGACGTTCCGGAAGCCTTCAGGGGCATAGAATCCGAATGGATTACTAAGGCTAAAGATTTCCTTGCCGAAATTGAGAAGCGTTTTGCGAAAAACGATAAGGTAGAAACAAGCACGCTCTTAGCTCGCTTGATTTCAATGAAGTATAAGGGCAAAGAAAATATCAGAGAGTACATTATGAAAATATCTCATATTGCTTCAAAGCTTAAGGCACTTAAACTCGATCTTTGTGAT